TTAAGAAAAAGATGTAATAAAAGTGTGTGTGTGTGTGTGTGTGTGTGTGTGTGTGTGTGTGTGTGTGTGTCAAGTGTGTGTGGTGGGGCACTAACTCACTGCTTGGAAGTTTATGTTGCTGGTTATGTGGCATGCTGATTGGGGGTTTGTGGCTGGAGACAAAATGGTAAGGGCGGGTTACCCAGAGAACTGGACCCCAGGGGAGGCAGTAGTAATTTCAGACTGACTTCTGCAGATGGTAGGGCTAATCGCCTGCCATCCCTCAGGCTGAGAGGATTTCGGGCAGGTTACAGGGACGGGAGAATGGTCCCTAGATGACAGGTTCTAACTGTAGCCAGGAGGACTCTTGCAAAGGATTGTTGCCCAGGCCTTCGGGGACAGACAAAAGGAAAAGTTATGTATATCTGGCCGCAATAAAGCCCAGGAATATGACTATAGAGTTAAACACACAACAAATAGGAAGGGTGTAGTAACAACAGGTCCGCTCTGGCAGGTTTCTGGGCCTGCCAGAGGTTTTCTTAGGAGAAAAGTCCAAAGGACAGAGTTGGAGTGAGGTCATCTTAGGGACTGAACGCGTTCTACACGAAAATCAATAAGTAAACCAGGGTCAGTTTAGAACTGAGATTCGAAGCCAGTGCGCGCAGGCGCACACCACGGTATCTTATCTCCTCCTTCATTCCAGCCTGCACTCCACCCGGCTCCCTTCTCTCAGGAGGGGGAAGTTAGCGATCTGTGGCTTGAACAAGCTTCCCATCCCGCCGCCGCAGGGGCGAGCTGGGGTAGGTTGGAGAGGGCTACCGAACCGGATACCCTGAGCTGCGCCGCGCTAGGGCAGACACGGAGGACCCCAGGCAAAGAACTCTGGGCAGAGATAGGCCCTTGACCCGGACAGGCCAACGCCGATTGTCGCTTGAGTTGGCACCCGGTGCCCCCCGAGCCCTCCCCAGCACCAGGTTCAGCGCAGCTCTGCAGGCAGATGCAGGGTACTCCCCCGCCCGCGCTGGAAGAGAAGGTCGCAGGCAAAGCCGGGAAGCTCAGCCCGGTTATTAATTCATTGGGTCGTGTGCCGCTAATCAAGCCCGACTCTGTGCAGCCACCGTGAAGCCCGGCAGGGTCACTGGGGCCCGGCTTTGTGTCTGCCGAGGCCAAGTTGTTCCTGGGCCTCCAGCCCACCTCCCGGATCTGCACACCGGCGCAGTCCATGAGCGCAGAGCAGGCAGGGACTGTCACCTCCAAAAGTGGGCTTCCCACATTGTGAGGGGGGGCTCTACTCTCTAAACACACCTCACTCCATTCTTCCCCTAACTGGGGCGGGGAACACACCCCACTCTTGAGAGCAGAAAACCACTCTTCAAACCCACACCTGGCCTCCTTTTCCCGGCTAGCCCCTAAGCACGCAGGAAATCTGTTCAGCCAGGTTCCTCAGGTGGTGGTCCCCGCCCCCCTTCACCCTGCAGAGCCTGCAGATCAGGCCCCTCGTGGCCGGCCTCCCACCCCAGCCCCCTGGCCGCGGGCACAACAGCCTGGCACTCTCTGGGGCCTGGCTTGCGCTCGGAGAGTGTCTGTCGGCGCTTCCCTCTCCGGAGTTAATATTAACCAGGAGCTCCTGCGATCCAGAACTGCTCTGAAAGTTCCACTGGGGACGATCCTGCCACGGTTGAGGGACTTGGGCTCAGTCACCTTAGAGAGACAGACTGGGAGGCAGGCGAGACTGAAGAGAGGGGCACCGAATCCGGTGGTTGGTTAAAGAGGGGCTGGTCCATGGATGGCAGGTTCCCAGGAGAAGGCTCACATCCTGAGCCCATGATTCTCAGGCTTCACTCCTTCACCTCTAGCCTAGGTGTTTCGCCGCCGCCTCCTTCCTTCCCGTTCCCTCTTAACTCAGCCAACCCGGAATAAGAAGCTGGCGAGGGCTGTACCCAGGGGAACTTCCAGACTGCCACCTTTACAGCCATCCTCATTTTGGGGGGGATCTTTGCGGGATGGGTGAGAAGATCCTGGCCTTCCCCGCCCCCCACTTTTGCTGTCTCTACCCCTTCTTTTTGTGTGGGGAACCAGAATAGCCACTGCCCAAGGGAAAAAAGTATTTGTTTTCGTTTCGTTCGTCTGAAGGAACTTGACAGAAGGTCAGAAGTTCAAATGCTGCTCGCGCGCATGCGGCCGCGGCGGCGGCGAGAGTGGCCGGGTGTAGGGCTGCTGGGCCTTGGGTCCTGGGCCGGGAGGACCAGAGTGAGGGAAAGGATGTAGTTGGGGGGGGGAGGGTGGTCTCCGTTTAGGGCGCTGAGGCCCAAGGGACCCAGAAGGCAGCAAGAGGGTTGCAGTGCAGGTCAGGCCGGCGGATCTCCCTGCTTTGCGACTCCTCCCAGCTCAGCCCCTGCCTGCGCGCCCAAGGGAATGAGCGCGCTCGGAGCCCTGCGCTCCGCGCGTGCAGAGGCAGGGACCAGCCGCCAGAGCCCAGCCCCGCGCGCGCTGAAACCCTAGCCGCGGGATCGATAACGCAGGAGTAAGTGGAGCTGAAAGGCGTCTGCCGCGCCGCAGGGCTCAGCGCTCTCGCCCCTCTGCAGCGCGCAGAGGCCCGGCTAGCTGGGCAAGGGAGCCGGCCTGGGACCCCCTCGCAGACCCACCCGGACTGAGGGACCTTGCGTGTCCTGGCCAGGCCTCTTTGCAAGGTCTCCCTTCTCACGCGTTCCCAAGGATCTCCTCATCCCTCATGAGATGCACCCCCCCGGGGGGGGGCAGGGTAACCAGGGGATAAACGCCCGGGGCTGGCGGGAGAACTCGCTCCAGCTAGCAGCACCAGCCCGGCACCCCGCGGCCCGCGCAGAGTTAACTGTGGCTCGCGCAGCTTCCCGGCTCCCGCGCGCGCGCGCCCACACTCGCGGTCCAGATTTAAGGTGGTCGGGAGCAGATGAGGGAGATGGGGGAAAGAATGGCCCTGTCCTCAGCCTCCAAGACTCCCCTTTGCTCCAGCTCTGGCCCGCCACCCTAAGGCTAGTCTCCTAGGCTCCTCAGCCAGCAGGTACCCGGTGGCGAGCCCCGCGACGCGTCGCAGGCAGCTCCACGCTCGCTCGCTCCAGCCCCCGCCCCCCTGCTCTTGCGCCCCGCCAGCGCCGCTCCGCCAGCCGCTTGGCGCACCTAGCCTTAAAGGTAGGACTTGAATATTTTAATAGGGCAGTAAAAAGGATGCTGACCTATATTTGCAAGGAAACCCATTTCCAGCTTCAGTCATACGTGCATGGAGTTTCAGAAAGTCTCGATTTTGCTGGGAGATTGGCAGCCCATAAATCTCAAAGGAGGTGGGATGGGAGAGAGGACCGTGTTTTGCTTTGCCCTCTGTCCATCCACCCTCGTCGCTACTAAGATTTTTTCGCTTCTAATTCTTATGCAAGCAGGTTGAAAATTAAAGCGATTGCAAAGCCAGCAAGTTCCAAGTCCCTCCCCTAAGGTACCGCGGGCTCTGGAGAACAGAGGAGCATCCTTAAAGAAATATCAATACATTCCCTCTGACCGGCACAATTGGGGACCACGGGATCGCAGTCAGGCTACGTGATACAGTGGGGACAAGACAAGCGCCTCTGGAGCGCCTGCCTTTTGTCAGAACTGCCCCCTGGCTTTCCCAGTTAGAGTTCTTTGGTGGTGGCGGGGTAAAGGGTGGGGGTGGTCTTGGGAGAAGAAAAAAACACAGAAAAGGGAAAGGTGGGAGTTAGAAGCCGGAATGCTCCAGGCTATGTTCGCAATGACCTGGAGGCCCCTTGAAGTGTATAGGGGCATCTCCACTCCCTCCATTTTCTGTCCCCGCTTGGAAAGGGCAGACACCCCCAGAGTGAAGGTCTCTCCAAGTTACAAGCTAGAATAGAGACAGATGGAGGAGGCCATCCCAGGAGACTCATTAAATGAGGGACATAGCGAACCCCATCTCTGGTGCCCCCACTCCACCCAAACCCTAAACTTCCTGCTGGACCCTTCACCTCCTTTCTCCTCCCGGAAGAGGTGTGCTAGGTGGGCAGGTGGGTGGGGAAGGAGAGGGCCAAGCAGCCTTCCTACCTGCCCAAAGAGCAAACAGAGCAGGGCTGATTGCTTGGTCACACGCAACCCCCCAGGGGAAGGAGCCCGTTTCCCACCCGCAATGGGTCTCTACCTGAGTCATCAGCCGGTCTGCTCCCGTGTTTTCCTCATCCTTAAATATGATGTCGGGGTTATAATTGGGGGTGAGTTCCTTAAACCGCTCGGAGTTTCTTGTGATCTTCCCTTCGTATCTGCCGCTGGCCCCTAGGGTCTTCTCGGCTACGTTGGGGATAAACTGCTTGTAGGCTAAAGGGGTCAGCTTTTTGGGGTGCCGCCTCTTTCCAAACCCCCTGCCGGGCCCGCACGCCAGCCCGGGGCACACCAGCAGCGAGGAAGCGAGGACCACCAGAAGACATCTCGCTAGCAGCAGCATCTCGTCCGCGGAACCCGAGGACTTGCGAGCTGTCCCCGCGCGGTCTGTGCGCGAGCGGGTACGCGCGGGTGTGTGCGTGTGCGCTCCTCCTTGCGCTCGGCTCTCCCTTCCTCGCTCGGCTCGTTCGTTCCCTCTGGCGCTGCCTGGCTCTTTCTCTTCCTATATAACCTTGCCTGCCGCTGCTGCAGGGGACTTGTCTCCGATCGCCACCCAGACAGGGGCTGCGATGGCAGGCTGCCGGTCGCTGGTAACGGAACACATCGGAGTTGGGTCTCGAGACAGCAATTAAAAGACAAAAAGAGCCTGATTTTAAATGGTAGCAAGGCTGGAGAGCTTGTGAGACAGGCTGCCTTTCGCACTATATTATAGCTGGCAGGGGCGCATCTGATTGGCCAAGCCGCACAAGCTTGTCTTCTGATGTTAACCCTGAGAAAGACTACATTCCGCCCCCCCCCCTTGCTGCTGTGGCTTTATTTTCACCTGAAGGCTTCCAGTTTAAAAAAAAGAAAAAAGGTCTTTACTAAGGTAAAGGTGGGCGGGAGGAGGAGGCCTGTTTATTAGAATAATACCCCGCACTGCCGGCTTTGTGTGCGTGGTTGCTTCCCCCTTACTTCCTCTAGAATGGTAGATGCTTTGGTTTGAGCTAACATAAGTTTTTAAAGGACAGTCCAGATGCCCCCCTCCAAGCTTCAACCATCAAACATTCTCTCAATTGTCTGAGGGCAAAGCTACCTCACTCTTACTTACCTTATTTACACCCCCACCCCCAGACGTGAGTGTACAGGCTGTATGTCACTCACTGGGTTGTGAAAAAAAAAAAAAGCTCACTTTGAGTGTCTCCTGAATATTTAGCATCTTTGGGCAGAGGGTAATCACAAGTGTTGTTGTTTTAAGTGCCTTAGGGGAACTTGAAAATACTGCCCTCCATTGTGTTCCAGTGACTGCATCATAGGCGAACCTCTGCAGATGCATGCCTCTGAGCAGAGGGGCAGGTACAGTGTGGACTGCAGGATGGGGCAGGGTGCAGAGGCCCAGTGGGTCTGGGTGCTGCACCTCAGCCTAGGCATGGGAGGAGGCCAGGCTGGTGTGTGCTTGGTGGGTGGAGGCCATTGTGCCCCGGGGCAGCTGAGAGTGGGCAAGGCTGCATACATGCACCACCCCCACAATCGATCCCAGCAGAGTGCAGGGCTGGGATAAGTTGAATGTGGAAGTCAGGTTCCTCACTATGGCTGGCCTTACACTGGAGCTTTGCAATCTAGTCTTCAATAGTAGAAGCTGGCCAGGTGTAGGGGCTGCAGACTGAGGGTGTTAGGGACCTAGGGGACAGTGTTCTGACCATAGAGAGGTAGACAGGCTGTCTAGAGGTCAGTATTGTTTGAGTATCCAACCCCCCCCCCCCCCCCCCCCCCTTTTCAGAGAAAGAAAACTGTCAAGAAAAGTCCTAGTTAAAGCAGAGAAATAAAATATGGAACTCCTTGTTTTAATGGCTCATAGGCTTCTGCTCTGGCCCTTCCCCCATCCTACTCACAGGCGATGATTCCTCTAGAATGGGCAATGGGGGTGAGCTATTCATGTGGAATGGAATACCCGCCCGCCCGCTTGAGGACTGAGTCTTCCCATGTTACCCGGTGGGACTAGCCTCTCTCTCTTGATCCTGACCCAGTGTGGGGCTGGGGGGGTGGGGGGAGAGGTCCAAAAAACCTGAAGCTCAGCCCTCAAACAATGGGATATCCCAGCAGTTCCTTTTGCTTAGAAACTTGGTTACTTTGGGGTTGGTGGTGATGAAGGAGAGAGGTGCTTGCTACTGTCTACTGTGAGTCTCAGCCAGCAGCATGGGGGGGGTAGGGGTTGACCCAAGCTCTCCCACCCCGCCGCTCTGGGCTTCCTACCCTTTGATGTGTGAAGAACAAGTACAGATTCCTGGTGGGAAGTGGTCCCAGCCTCCTGCAGGCCAAATGAAGAGCCAGGCTCTCAGCCTGTGTCCTGTGTGTGCATACTCCCAGAAAAAAGAGATACAAAGGGGAGCCGCTGCTCTTGACCCAGGAGGCTAGGCCTGCATGTCATGTGACTGTCATATCTCTGAGAGGTGTGGGGCTGGACAAGCCCTGAGCATCTTGGAGCCTCACCTTGCTTCAATCTTTTCTCTCTGTGCATGCTGCCCAGCACTCTTTTCTTGATGTCTTTGAGGGTAGGCTGGTGAGTGGATCCTGCACCTGTAGACAGCTCTCCTCAGAATCATATGGGGTGGGTGACTGTGCTTTGGAAACAAACCCTTAAGCTGCCAGAGTTCCCTGTGGGCACAGCTGACTTTGGAGGGCCCAGCCGTGATCAGCTCCCCCTTGGCTGTGGGACAGAAGAATGACTTGGTTCTGCACTGTGGCCTATTGCCCACCTCCACTCCGTCTCTAGGGACGAGGGATGGTAGTTCCAGAGAAAGCCTGATAAGGGCTGGTCTTCCTGGAGACAGGGAGGGTCTTTATAAGAAAATAAAGATTCATTATAAACTCTGTTGTTTTTTTACCTTGTACCCACGGGCAGCTTGCTTTCTGCTCTGGGCTGCAGAAATGCTTGGATAAAAAGCAATCACCGTTCATATTTGTTGTCTTGAAAACAACGTTATGAGCCTAGCTATGGGGGTTGGGGGGGGGATAAATGCGGCTGCTGTCCTCTGCCCTCTTCCTGGTGCATCCCACCCACTCCCCACTTCCCAGACACCAGACACCCGCTGCCTTCCACCTCCAGACACCAGATGGCTCCCTCTCTTTGCCTTTCCCCTCCAGACCATTGGGGCCCCTCCCTGTGTCTGCAGGAGGTTCCAAAGCCCAGCCTCTGCCTGGCGGGGCCAGCCATCCCCTTAACTCTCAGGGGCTACTTCTTATTTGTCTAGGCTCAGGTATTCTTCTTGCTGGGCATTCACATCCTTCTCACACTTCTTCCATCTTCCCACCCACCTTTCTTTTCTTCACTCTGAGGAGGACTGGAAAGCCTTTATGTCTGCCCCACCCCCCAGGAGGCGCAGTTCTGGGCATGGCCCCTTCCCTCTTCCGGCCCCTGCCGCTAGATGGCGTCCTCACTCTGCCTTCAGCCTTGGCCTGCCAGGTTTGGGAAATTCCGCATTCTCGGGTTGGAAGGACCTGGATGCAGGGCTAGGCTCTTTGGTTCATCCTCCTCTTGACTCTGCCACCTGTCTTTCCTTCCCAACCCTTACTCCTCCCCCCCCCCCCCCCCCCCCCCCCCCCCCCCCCAACAGTTTGAGTCAGGGATCCCAGTTCAGCCCCGGCCTGCACTTCCAGTGTTTGGCATGGCTGGCCTTTTTTTTCTTCTTCTTCTTGGTTTCTCTCCCAGTTGATTTCTCTTCCTTCCAACAGCTCTGCACCGTCTCATTCCATCCAATCACCCAGTTAGTTCCATTTTTCTTCCTGAATTTTTTTAATTTTGGCAAATAGAGTTTCAGCTGCTCCCTTTTGTTCTCTGGGGTGACAGTTAGGGAAGGGGAGACCCCCCCACCCCCACAGTCCAAGAGATATGCTACGGCTAGGAACCAGCTTCTGGGTTAACTGTCAGAGAGTCACATGGCTGAGTGACACTGTGTCCATGCCCTCTTGGTCCTTCAGTGGTGTCTGCTGGTTCCCACACCTCAGTGTAAGCCATGGGTGTTTCCTCTTAGGTCCAAATAAGCCTCAGCTCTGTGGATCCTTAGAGTCTCTAA